GACTTGGCAGGGCACGGGGCCTCCAATTCAGTCACTGTTAGGTGGGCCCTACACTTATTAGTAACATTAGATCACTTCCGGATTTCCTTCGCATTGCAAGTATACAGTGAGTCAACATCTGAAGATGAGAGGGTACGTTCAATCCTGAGGTTTGGTGCAACCGAATATGATGTGAGGTTTTCAAAACGCATATCTTTAAGAACGTTAGTTTCTTGATTTTGGCTTCATTGTTTGTCTCAACTTCTCTACTGAAATCCGATAGCAACTCCAGAAGCAAAGCAACCTCCATTTGCTGCGAATCTTGGAAACACTGCATCTCATTTGGCGGGTGAAGGCGTGTGGACTCCCTGCTTGTACTCCGTGTACATTAGTTTTTGAAAGTTTCAACAATTGTGATGACAGTTCAATGCCGAGGTATCTTTGCTGATCCCCGATCCATCATGGAACGTGGAATTGCCAGGGAGATCATCGATGGGAAGCTCTACAACAGGCAAGGCTGATATCTGCAAAAGCGTTTCTGCACATTTCACCCCCAACCTTCGCAAGCTGTTGACCCCAGAATTTGTGCTCCACAAAGCATCCCAAGTAGCCTTTGTCTTGGGTCTAGTCACCAGCCGCTTTGTGTGCAGGAGCCTGAAGAAATTGAAAGCAACCTTCCAAAATTTTGGAAACTCGTCTGACTTGAGATGACCTTTGACGGAACTTTTTTGGCAGCTTATGTTTGCTATGTTTGCTGTTGGCCTTTCAAAGGGCTTTGGGTCAAACCTTGAGGAAAGGCCATTGCTTTGGTGGATGGCAGTTTCAAAATCGTGCACCCTGGCATCCGAAAGCAAGGTTTGAGAATGTGGAAAATCTCTATTGGTCTTGGTCCATGGGGGATGGAGGTTTATGATGGTCAATGATGGCTAATGATGGTTAATGATGGTTAATGATGGTTAGTGATGGTTAATGATGGTTAATGATGGTTAATGTAGTTTAATGATAGGTTAATGATGGTTACTGATGGGTAATGATGGTTAATGATGGATGATGATGGTTAATGATGGTCAATGATGGATAATGATGGTTAATGATGGTTCATGATTCTTAATGATGGTTAATGATGGTTCATGATTGATTTATGATCATTAATGATGGTGAATGATGATTAATGATGGGTAATGATGGTTAATGATGGTTAATGATGGTTAATGATGGTTAATAATGGTTAATGATGGTTAATGATGGTTAATGATGGTTAATGATGGTTAATGTTGGTTTATGATCATTAATGATGGTGAATGATGATTAATGATGGGTAATGATGGTTAATGATGGTTAATGATGGTTAATGATGGTTAATAATGGTTAATGATGGTTAATGATGGTTAATGATGGTTAATGATGGTTGATAATGGTTAATGATGGTTAATGATGGTTAATGATGGTTAATGATGGTTAATGATGGTTAATGATGGTTACTGATGGCTCATGATGGTTAATGATGGATAATGATGGTTAATGATGGTCAATGATGGATAATGATGGTTAATGATGGTTCATGATTCTTAATGATGGTTAATGATGGTTCATGATTGATTTATGATCATTAATGATGGTGAATGATGATTAATGATGGGTAATGATGGTTAATGATGGTTAATGATGGTTAATAGTGGTTAATGATGGTTAATGATGGTTGATGATGGTTAATGATGGTTAATAATGGTTAATGATGGTTAATGATGGTTAACGATGGTTAACGATGGTTAACGATGGTTAACGATGGTTAACGATGGTTAACGATGGTTAATGATTGTTAATGATGGTTAATGATGGTTAATGATGATTAATGATGATTAATGATGGTTAATGATGGATAATGATGGTTAATGATGGTTAATGATGGTTAATGATGGTAAATGATGGTAAATGATGGTAAATGATGGTAAATGATGGATAATGATGGTTAATGATGGTTAATGATGGTTAATGATGGTTAATGATGGTTAATGATGGTAAATGATGGTAAATGATGGTAAATGATGGTTAATGATGGTTAATGATGGTTAATGATGATTAATGATGGTTAATGATGGTCAATGATGGTTGATGATGGCTAATGATGGTTAATGATGGTTAATGATGATTTATGATGGTTAATGATGGTTTATGATGGTTAATGATGGCTAATGATGGTTAATGATGGTTAATGATTGTTAATGATGGTTAATGATGGTTAATGATGGTTAATCATGGATAATGATGTTAATGATGAATAATGATGACTAATGCTGACTAATGATGGTTAATGATGGCTAATGATGGTTAATGATGATTCATAATGATTAATGATGGTTAATGATGGTCATTGATGGTCAATGAGGATTAATGATGGTTAATGATGGTTAATGATGGTTAATGATGGTGAACGATGGTTAATGATGGTTCATGATGGTCAATGATGGTTAATGATGGTTAATGATGGTTAATGATGGTTAATGATGGATAATGATGGTTAATGATGGTAAATGATGGTTAATGATGGTTAATGACGGTTAATGATGGGTGATGATGCTTAATGATGGTTAATGATGGTTAATGATGGTTCATGATGGTTAATGATGGATAATGATGGTTAATGATGGTTCATGATGGTTAATGATGGTTAATGATGATTAATGATGGTTAATGATGGTTAATGATGGTTAATGATGGTTAATGATGGATAGTGATGGTTAATGATGGTTAATGATGGTTACTGATGGTTAATGATGGTTAATGATGGTTAATGATGGTTAATGATGGTTAATGATGGTTAATGATGGTTAGTGATGGTTAATGATGGATAGTGATGGTTAATGATGGTTAATGATGGTTAATGATGGTTACTGATGGCTCATGATGGTTAATGATGGATAATGATGGTTAATGATGGTCAATGATGGATAATGATGGTTAATGATGGTTCATGATTCTTAATGATGGTTAATGATGGTTCATGATTGATTTATGATCATTAATGATGGTGAATGATGATTAATGATGGGTAATGATGGTTAATGATGGTTAATGATGGTTAATAATGGTTAATGATGGTTAATGATGGTTGATGATGGTTAATGATGGTTGATAATGGTTAATGATGGTTAATGATGGTTAACGATGGTTAACGATGGTTAACGATGGTTAACGATGGTTAACGATGGTTAACGATGGTTAACGATGGTTAATGATTGTTAATGATGGTTAATGATGGTTAATGATGATTAATGATGGTTAATGATGGTCAATGATGGTTGATGATGGCTAATGATGGTTAATGATGGTCAATGATGGTTAATGATGGCTAATGATGGTTAATGATGCTTAATGATGATTTATGATGGTTAATGATGGTTAATGATGGTTAATGATGGTTAATGATGGTTAATGATGGTTAATGATGGATAATGCTGGTTAATCATGGATAATGATGTTAATGATGAATAATGATGACTAATGCTGACTAATGATGGTTAATGATGGCTAATGATGGTTAATGATGATTTATAATGATTAATGATGGTTAATGATGGTCAATGATAGTCAATGAGGATTAATGATGGTTAATGATGGTTAATGATGGTTAATGATGGTGAACGATGGTTATGGATGGTCAACGATGGTTAATGATTGTTAATCATAGTTAATGATGGTTAATGATGGTTAATGATGGATAATGATGGTTAATGATGATTAATGATGGTTAATGATGGTTAATGATGGTTAATGATGGATAATGATGGTTAATGATGGTTAATGATGGTTAATGATGGTTACTGATGGTTAATGATGGTTAATGATGGTTAATGATGGTTAATGATGGTTGATAATGATTAATGATGGTTAATGATGGTTAATGATGGTTAATGATGGTTAATGATGGTTAATGATGATTAATGATGGTTACTGATGGTCAATGATGGTTGATGATGGCTAATGATGGTTAATGATGGTTAATGATGATTTATGATGGTTAATGATGGTTTATGATGGTTAATGATGGCTAATGATGGTTAACGATGGTTAATGATTGTTAATGATGGTTAATGATGGTTAATGATGATTAATGATGGTTAATGATGGTCAATGATGGTTAATGATGGCTAATGATGGTTAATGATGGTTAATGATGATTTATGATGGTTAATGATGGTTAATGATGGTTAATAATGATTAATGATGGTTAATGATGGTTCACGATGGTTAACGATGGTTAACGATGGTTAACGATGGTTCACGATGGTAAACGATGGTTAACGATGGTTAACGATGGTTAACGATGGTTAACGATGGTTAACGATGGTTAATGATTGTTAATGATGGTTAATGATGGTTAATGATGATTAATGATGGTCAATGATGGTCAATGATGGTTAATAATGATTAATGATGGTTAATGATGGTTCACGATGGTTAACGATGGTTAACGATGGTTAACGATGGTTAACGATGGTTAATGATTGTTAATGATGGTTAATGATGGTTAATGATGATTAATGATGGTTAATGATGGTCAATGATGGTTAATGATGGCTAATGATGGTTAATGATGGTTAATGATGATTTATGATGGTTAATGATGGTTAATGATGGTCCAGGAATCTTTGTGACCAGTCGCATTGGGGCCCCTTCATTGAACCTCGTGCGGCTAGGCATAATGCGAGTGGCGAGGAGCCGAAAGTTGTCTTGGAGGGCTGCGGTCTCTTGGATCACCAGCTTGATTCGTTTTGGCAATGGCCTAACTTGAAGTACTTCATCTTCAATTATTCACATGCTCACATACACACATATACATGTATCATATACATATATCATATACATATATCATATACATATCATATATCATATACATATCATATATCATATACATCTATCATATACATGTATCATGTGTATATATATATATGTTTGAGCCACGGTCAAAATGGTTGAAGACTACTTTTCAGTATTGCAGGAGTTTTTTGTCAGAGATGTGCACGAAAGTGATAGGGCCCCCCAAAAGCGATAACCTGGGACCATACACGACAGTCCATTAAACTTGGCTTGTGCACATACACAGAACGGGCAAAACCGATGAGGGAAATTCAACCTGTGGTGCCCTGTTTCCTGCAGATACTGTAGCATTTGGCATCCAACTCGCTCGCTCTCTCTTTCTTTCTTCCTTCCTTCCTTCCTTTCTTTCTTTCTTTCTTTCTTTCTTTCTGTCTCTCTCTCTCTCTCTCGCTTTCACTCTCTCTCTCTCTCTCTGTCGTTTTGTGGCAAATTTCCTTCGAACAATGTCACATGTTGGAGGACCTTAGCGATAACTTAGCGATAACCATTTGTTGCACTCGGTTCCCTGGCCAAGCCATAGAGCCATTTCCATAACTTTAGAAAGGAAATGAAAGGACATGAGTACAAAATGAAAGGAAAATGCGTGCAAATGAAAGGAAGATGAGGGGACATAAATGCACATTGGAATGAAAATGAAAGGAATATGAAAGGAAAATGAATGGAATTGAATACCAATGAAAGGAACATGAAAGGAAAATGAAAGGACATGAATGCACATGAAAGGAAGATGCATGCATGAAAGGATCTCGAATATGCTGATTTCCACAAAACCCTGGAAAGCGATAGGGCCCCCCCAAAAGTGGTAACCATCACAATAGCAACTACTCAAATGTAAAGGTTTGTGACGGGAACTCATATATATATATATATACACATATAACATATATTACACATACGTAAATTGTAAATTTATGTAAACACATGTTATGGCCATGCCCCTGTAGCGACTAGTGGCAACTAATCCATGGGGCTGAGGTTTCCGTGGAGAGGCTTTACCCCAGTCCCTGGAGGAGGCCGGCAATGCAGAAATATGGGGATTTAATGA